TATTCCCAGCGTAGAAATTGTTCGTCTCGAAAGAGGGAAAAAGCTGCGAGGATGCTGGTGCTTGGGTGGACATGGTAGCTGCGGGGGGAGAATGATAGGGCGGTCGTGGGCTTGTGCAGATGCGGCGCGACTGCGCAGCGTCAAAGTCGAAGCGATATCGCGCAAGTGTGAGATGCGTACTTGGCGAGGTACACTTTGTCGAAGAGCGTGAGCGGTGGGTCGTAAAGGGAAGTGTAGCGACGGATGAACGACTAGTAAGGGAACGAGCTGGTGCAATCAAAGCCTGAGCTCTGCTGCAGAGCATATATGCAGTCCAAATTTTGCTGCTAGAAGCGACTCTATGCGCAGTCTTGAGAGTCTGTAGATCAAGCCTGTAGCAAATCCAAGTCACGAGTGGAGCGATCGGTAGTCTGGTGAGTGAGGTTGCGACAAAGAGAAAGAGAAGTTCTTGATTATTCGTGATTGTGATGCTGGCTGCCGCGCGGACCGGCTATCAATACGTTGGCTGTCGTCCGACTCACAACTCCTCCCATCAAGTTGATTGCCACCGCGCCTGAGCAGCAGCAACTGCCAATCACCAATCACTCAATCACGAAATCGTGAATGTGAATTCGCATCCGCACCCTCGTGACTGTATGACTTGATCGACATCAGCTATAGCCCACTCTGCAGAAGTGGAGGTCTGCCCGGCCCACACACCGCACGCTGGGCTGGTCGGCCGTGCCCGCAATGATCGTAAATACGGGTGCGCGACTTGGCAACGAGTGCCCACGGGCCTCGGGGCGGCTCTGTACCTCTGCATTTATGATTCTTGATTTCATTTTGGTCATCAACGAGCGAAACACGTGGCGCAGGGCGACGCATGAACTCACATCACGTGATGAATCGAAGATTTAGCACCGCCTTTCTGACATGCACAGCAGTAAAAGTACACAATCTGGCGAGCAGACCCACCATTCATCCGCATTCAGCATTCAGCATTCACAATATTCACGATGCTGCTTATGAATTTGTGATTGCCCAGGGTGAATCTCGCCACACCACATCAACAAGCTGGCGCATCGGTTCGAGCAATCCCTGCATATATCATCGTCCGCCACTCTGGAGCATCATGGTTGGCAACAAGCGCAAGCGCATCCCACTGCCGAGCGGATCTTCCCATTCGCTCGGTCTGGGCAAAAAATGGAAAATGAGCGCCTTGCCAAGCGAAGCCCTCTCAGGTCAAGGCATGACCGACTCCGATTTCTTCGAGAGCCTCTACGCTTCCTCTCATCCTTCCCTCGTTCCCTCCAAGAAGCTCAAACACCTCAAAAAGCGAGGCAAAGATGAGCTTGAAGCGGGACCAGTAGAGGATTTGGGAGCGGATGTGGACGTGGGGGAGGATTGGATGGGATTGGCAGAAATGGAAGGTGTGCAGGTCATCAGGGAGGGAAACACTGTCAGGCTCGTACCTGCTCAGTCAAAGGGGCACACCTCACTCGCTTCGCACGAAACCCAGAAAGGGACAAGCAAAAGTAAGGCGGCCCCAAAGGGCGATGCAGACGCGGCCGAGCAAGCACTTGATGCGCTCCAAGAGCATCAGGGCAATCCGGATGATCTGACTGCGGTGAGGGATT